TATAAATATATATTAATAAATTTAAAAAAGGGTTTGTGCCCCATTCTCTAGCCTGGAGACCAACTGGCATAAGCTGACCTAGAAGTATTCAGTAAGTGTTTATATCCTGGGCAGGGAGAGACAGTGGTCAAGTTGAAAATGGCTTTTGGGACCAAACCCTGATCTAGGCTCAGGCCTGGACCACTCCTGGGAACTATTTGAGGGTGGTATGAAACTGTATTTCAGCAGTCTAAACTGAATGAGGACAGGTTTCAATTAGCCATTAGAAAGAAATTCTTTACTGTGAGGGTGGTGAAGCACTGGAACAGGTTGCACATAGAAGCTGTGGCTGCCCCGTCCGTGGAAGAGTTGAAGGCCAGGGTGGGTGGGGGTTGGAACCAGCTGGGCTTTGAGGTCTCTTACAACTGAAACCATTATATAATTCCATGATTATATAACAGCATGGATGTTCATGGGCTCAGGCTCTGGCTCTGGTTACTTTACCTGAGGTGATGCTCTCTTAGGGCTTGGTTATGCTCTTTGCTGAACACAGTTGAGTGGCAGCTCGCTCTACTGCCATAATAAAGTAATATTTCAAATAAAGTATTTGGCTAGAAAAAAAAAGACGTGAACCCTGCCTTATCTCACTGCGTTCAGGATTTTCTCTCAATATTTGTTCAGATAGGGAAAATTGCAAATGTCGGAAGTTCTTCAGGCCAGATGCTAGGCAAGTTTAAGCTGACAATTTGTGCTAGCTGAGGTTCTTAGGCTTTCACTTATATTTATTGGAAAGGGCAATGAGATGTAATGAATAAATGTAAAACTCAAGAAATAGAGCCAAAGATTCGTGGGAGACATGTTTGCATCCTGTGATTTGCTGTTGAGAGATTTTAGTGCTGAGCTCAGAAGGGTATTTATAGAGCTGCTGGTCAGAACTGTGCAATTTAAAGGTGAAATCTGTTCTCTTTTTTAATCTTGAGTTTTCATTCCACTCCAAATTGGTGCAAGCAAATCTCCTGGGCCTAAAATGTCATGGGAGCACTAAAGGCCAAGAATGGAATTAATTTTTTTAACTTTGAGAGCAAAACCATCAGGTTTAGGGCTGTAAAATGTTAATCTATTTCTGGCTTTTGCAAGGATTGTCTGAAATACTTTTGCCCACTCATAACTCAAGCAACTTCATGTCAGGTATTAGAGTTGGTTTTATGTGTGAGTACTGACAAAAGTAATGTACAGTTTCCATCACAGCAACCTGGAAAAAAAAAACCTCAAAAATATATCTCTCAGACCTTTTTGTTGGTCCAGAACAATGGCAAAATCTCCTGGAAGAAATGGGAAACAAGACTGAGACCTTGGTTGTTTGCTCTAAGACATTCTTTGCTCAAGATCCTGGTCAAGCTATCAAGTAGAGCTACATTCCAAGTGCTGAAGAGCCAGCAAGCTTGGTCCTTCCATTCCTCTCCTACTATTGCTGTGGAAAGCATTTCTCCCAGCCTGCTTCAGCTGGGGAGACTTAGCCTTGGTGACCAGTAGATTTTAGGGCTGAGGTCAAGACTCATCACTGTCTTCTCTTTTGCTGATGCTTCTCCAAGCACTTCTCATCCCAAAATACTTCGGGGTCACTGAGTAGCTTCAGTGATGGAAAGTGATGCTATTTCTGTATCAATGTCAGTCTCACCACAAACTTCTTACTCTTTGCTACTCTGTGACAAGATCAATTAGGACTCTTTTCATTAGTCACTCGAGCAGCAAGTGCAGGTAGCGTGGGTGAATGGGGACATTGGGCAATGCACCTGAGGGCTTGCAGCAGGAGAAGTGGTTATCTCTGAGGGATGGGATGCTCATCTGTATGGGAGGGATGTTGACAGTCTGCAATGATTAGTTACTCTGAGTGGTGGTCACTACATTCATCTTTTGTCATTAGAACAGGCAAAGTTTTAAATAACACATGTGGCTGCATCCCTAAATGATCTCTCCTCAATATGTGGCTTCCTAGTCCTTGTCTGCTAGGCTTGGTGTTGGGTGGACAAAGGCCTTTGAGCTCTGCTCTTAGATGTAGAAGCATCCTGGGTGTGTTACTAGTGTATGTCCATTTCTCCCAGAGTTCTATTGAATGTTCCCAGCTTCGCTCCCTAATAAGACCTTGCCAAAGTCACTTATGTACTCTGGAGAGAAAATGTGACTGATACCAATGTTGCAGCAATGTATAAAATGCTAAATTATTCATGGTACTTAAGCACAGAAAGTCCCAGAGTTGAACTGACATAATGAAAAACTCCAGGCAAAAAAAAAACCCGACCCACCATGGAAAGTCTTGGATTAAAAACAGTTGCAAACTTTAGAGTCAAGGTGTATTATAGAGTCTTAATCCGTTCTTCCGTTAAATGCCCCTCCTCATGCTGTACCCTGTGTTATCATAGCCAACTACTTTTAATGTTGTTATCCACATCACTTTCCCATGAACAGGGACCTAAGGCAAATAAATGTCAGATGACTTGTCCTCATTCAAAATAAAAAGTCTGCACTAGCAGTGGGATTTGTGACTAGGTCTTCTTGAACTGAAGCCTTGACCACCTTAAGCTGCTTCCTCCCTGTCACAAATGAAGTGATCATCTGGAGGAGCATGGGATTTCATACCAGAGCATCAGACCTTTTAAAACATCTTGTCTGCAGCTTCCCAGGGACCTCTGTGGGCTATCATCAGAGATTTCATTCTTTATCATAATGAGCCTTAGTTTTCACCTACCTATCACACAAAGAGTCCTGGATATTTAAATCTTGCCCTAGATAATCTTCACCTCCGGAGTTTTCTGGTGAAAGACTTGCAAACTAAAATAGTAATGTAGGAGCACAACTTTGAGAATTTAAGTGCCAAATGGACCATGACATGCTTCTCAATTCATGGAGAACTTTAACAAAAATGGGCCCAGTATGTAATCTTATAACTGAAACAGGCTGATGTAAAGATCAACAGGTCAGTTAAAAGGAGAACTGTACTAAACCAAATGCTGCTATAAGAAGTTTAGAGAATTCATACTGTTAAGCCATCTGTTTCCAGATTCTTTTATCATTTTGTTTGGTCCTGTGAAAGCATTGTTCAACAGCTGATTTCAGGTTTTCTTTTGCAACTTATTATCACTTCTGTTGTGAAAAAAATTATTAAAAAACCCCCACAAATAAATTCAAACAGTGTTGTGTTGATTTCTTCATATGTCATAGCATATTTCCATTGGAAACATTTTTAACAAAGCAGTTTTTGCTTGTTTGAAAAATGCTCAGGCTGCTTTAGTCAGTTTGCCTTTTTTTTGGAGGGTAAAATAGGCTTTCAAAGCTGTTCGGTGCTCCCTTTTGCCCTGAAGGCATATAGGAATTGTAAGAGAATCTGATTTGCAACCTCTTCAGGAGTTGAAAAGGTTCCTCAGGATCCCATCCAGTCTGCAGTGAATTAAGGGAGAACAGGGTTTTCTAGCTGACATCCTTCCATTTACGGAGTGCCAAACAGCAGCGGTGGCAACGTTAGTGATTTCAGCTTTATTTGTCAATTAATGAGCATCTGTAACTTGACACTTCATTTTTCCTAGGCTGTACCCTCGGCATGCAAGTGCTCTCAACAACCTGGGGACATTGACCAAGGACGTGGTGGAGGCAAAGGACTACTACAGACGGGCCCTTCAGTTAAACCCTCAGCACAATCGAGCTCTCTTCAATCTTGGCAACCTGCTCAAGTAAGTTGAATGCAGAACAGGCACCAAGAAACTTTGCATTGCCTCTACACACATCACTAAAGTAGTTTTTTCTACCAGCGGTGAAGGATTGGTGTTAGCTCTTAGTGCTGGCATAAAGGTGGGGCTTAGTTTGGATATCCTTATGCTATCTGCCACATCACTTCAGGTGCTGTTCACAGGTGTGCTTCAGTTGTAGGGAATTCACTTGTTCCAAACTCAGCATCAAAAATGAGTTGCCTAAGCCCAGCTACTCACCCAAGATTCCCATCTTGGTGGAGACATGTAAGCCTTTCCAGTGGAGTAAGCTATATTGTTCAAAGACAGGCACCAGACAGAACTAATAAATAACACAGATCCAACAAATCCCTCTCTGCAACTTCCTTCTTATTATTATTAATTGTATGGAAGGTCACTGTGTGGTTTGAGCATAAGCACCTAATGCTGAGATGCTCAGTGCAGCAGAAGGTTCATTCTGTAGCAGAGCTGGTGTGTCTGGATTTGAGGGGAAACCTGGTTTACATCTCTATATGGTTACTCTGCTGAGCAAGAAAACAAGTTAATCAGATCATTATTTCACTCATCATTATTTAGAATGTCAGCCTTTAGCAAGGAGAATAGCAGACAATCATAATCATGCAAATTAATTTGACTATCTACAGATTGAACTTAGACCTGTACAAGAAGCCAATATGATAAGATCTGCTAAGGGTTCAATTAAAAAAATAAAATAGCTCTATTTAGGACCAGCAAAAAAGGTCCTTGTTTTTGTGAGGATATTGTGTTATTTGCTGTCAGAACTGGAAAAACTACAGCAGTAAAAGTACTTTTTTTCTGATATAAACAGCCCTTATTTGCTGATAATAGGTCTCTGGTAAATCTTTTAGAGCAGATGGGGCTTCGTGCTGGTTAAGCAATGACAAGCTTTAGTGTTGGACTGGTTTTGAAATGGCACTGTGTCATTAAAACTTAATTGATCTTTCTGGTTGTAAACATTACCTCTTGTGAGTTTGTATAAAGGATATTAAGTGCATCACTGAACTTCTGCCTGGTCCCTTTGGTAGCAGAGAAATTGTCAGAATAATATTACGAGAAAATCTGATGGTTTGAGGTTACAGTATGGCAAATGAGTAATCTTAAAGAGAAAGTAGGTAAGTGCTTTACTGGAAATACAAGGAATTGGTTGCACTGGCAAAGAGCAAAGGAGACGGGTGGGGAAAATCTCTTAGAACTGCTGTTTGTTTTCTGTGCAATATGTCATGTTTTTCCCAATGTGATAGTTAAGATATTGTGTGTCCTGTTGGATTGTAAATGCTTCTGTGGTGCATCCTTCTGTGGTGCCATATTTTGTGGCACGTTAAATGTGTGTGATGCTTGTGCTAAACTTGTCAAAAGAAAGCGCTCAGGTTCCACCAGCCCTTTTCCCATATCCATTTGCTCATGGAGTTCACGAGGGAGGGATTAGCACATACATAAAGCAGATGCTGTGTGGGCAGATCCTATATAAATGTCTCACCTAAAATGATAGCCCAAACCCCTTTGCCAGCACCTTCCCTAGGTCATCCATCAGCTTAACAGAGAGGATCAGCCATGCTGGACCATGAGGTGACTTGTGAGATGACCAGACAGGTACAAAACAGAGATTTCAAGTTCCCCCTTCCTACAACTTTGTTTTCTATCTGGGTCTCCTTTCATGTATATGTATGTGTGTGTATGTGTGTATGTACAGGGCAACCAGTATTCTGCAGACATTAAATTCTAGTATAATCTAGGTAATAAATGAAAATCTGCAGAATATTACAGGCAGCTACTACTTCCTCTCGGTGTTATGAAACATTATGAAGTGTTTTGATTTTTAAACATATGTCAGAGAGAAGATAAATGGTCAAACCATAAAAGCATTTTCTGTCCTCTTTGCAGAGGCTTCAGGCCATGGTGCAGATCAGAAAGAGCCAGATCTGCAACAGTTAAGGCATGTCCAGTACCACCACTTCTTGTACTGGGACATGTAATGAAAGTGTCTGGCATGGGGATTTCCCAGTTGAATTCTGCTGGGTTCCTTATTCCCACCCCTGCTCACAGTGTAGAAATCTGATGGTGGATGTTAGATTTCATCTCCTCTGGAGTACCAAGAAAAGGGAACTCCAGGATTTTGGAAGGATGAGTTTGTTACTCCCATGTGGGAATCTGCCTCTCATTCCATGTAAATAAGCTATTTAAGCATCCGTTGTTTGTGATTTAAACTTGAGTAAAAAACTGTTATGAGAACCACAGGGTGGAAGTTTGAAGTTTTTTTCTGCAGAAGTCCTAGATGAAAAAGGATGTTTCCATTTTCTGTTTGCACATAATGAAGACAGCTATGTGCCAGAAGATGAATGTTCTCAGGAAGCATTGCAGGGTAATGGCTGAATAAGCCTCTGGTTTTGTTTACATATCCTGAAATAAAGTTGTATGTCATCATTTTCTTGCCTAATATAAATATAGGAGAGTAGATAATGAAACAATGCCAACAGATTTCTTACTTAAAATAGACGCAAAAGATGGCCTACCTAAAAGTGTGAAATCTCTTTGCTTTCATGGCCTGTGATCAGTGACACAGAACAGCCTGATACTGCTTTCTTGTGTTTTGAATATTTAACTCCTCTATATAAATTCAGTTTTGTTGAGCTACAGATAAATATTATTCAGAATACCTCACAGATTTATAGCCTGTGGGTTGTTCTGCAAAGAGACAAGAAATAAGATACTATGAACATTTGAAGTAACTATTTATCTCAGCTTTCTGTTGCAGGAAGAATGGCTAAAAACGTCTTTGCAGTACTGTATGTATTCATACTAAAGCAGTGCAATATACACTGTTTCTTAGGAAGAAAAGCCTCAGAACTCTTACGTGCTTTGAGAGCATTATGGCTTCATTTTCAAGAGGAAACTGAAATGCCTAGAAACAATCTCCACTGAATCTCAAGTTTACTCATAGGACTGATTCCCTTCTGAATGTAGAGTAATAAATATGCAGTGTATCCTGAGCATTTGTTGTCATGATTTAGTCCCAGTTTAGCAAATCCATCTATTCAGAGGAAGAAGGACTGTCTGCCCTCTCTGATACAGGCTTCTGGATATATGTGAATGTGCTGACACAGGCTCATGTAACTCTCTGAAAATGCTGGAAAAACATCAGATAGATGTTGTGTTTAATGAGATTTAAGTTCTTTTAGCTAGTGAAAGATTCCTTCCTTTCATTCAAAGAAGTAAACTGATTGATGATGTTCAGTGATACTGCCTCTGGCTTTCTGCATGGTCTCTGGTTAGGGTACTCTGTATTGCATGAAGTGCTATAGTTAACTCTCAGTATTGCATACACATTGTAGCAAGTTGTTAAAAAAAAACACAAAAACTTCAGCAGTCAAATTTACATTAGATAAAAAAATAGCATAGATTGGAACAGCTCTCTGGAGATCACTTGGAGATCAAGCTGGCTGCTCAGAGCAAGTTGCTCAGGGCTGTGTCCAGCTGAATCTTGAACTCCTCCAAGGACAGATTCCACAATCTCTCCGTGCAACCTGTTCCAGTGTTTGACTACCCTCGTGGTGAAAAATATTTTTCCTTATATGTAATCAGAATGTCCCAAGTTCCTACTCATGTCTGTTGCCTCTTGTCATGTCACTGTGCACCTCTGAGAAGAGTTTGGCTCTGCCTTCTCTATATCCTCTGACCAGGGAGTTGCAGGCAGCATTGAAATCACCCCTGTGCCTTCTCTTTTCTGAGACACACAGACATATAAAGGTACAAAACTCAGCCTCTCCTCAACTCAATGGGTGCGGCTTGCTCAGCCTCTCCTCAACTCAATGGGTGCTGTACCTTTGACTTTCTCTAGTGGCCCTCAGGTAGGCTTCCTCCGCAGAGTCCATGCCTGTTGTGCACTGGGTAGCCCAACTCTGCACAGACATTGCTTCAGATGTGGTCTCACAAATTTGGGTCAAAATTGGATTAAGTGATCAGGGTCTGCTTGTGTCAGTTGAATTTGTTCTTCTCTCTGTCATAGTGAAGGTATATGCTACCTAGCTATTCCTGCTCCAGATCCCCAGTTCATGGAAAATTAGTGTATTGGACTGTTCTTCCAATGCTTTGTGCTCTCCCAGCTTGCAGATTTATACAAGTAACAGCCTTGATCCTGCAAAGTGTTGGCCTTGATCCAGGAAAGCACTTGAACCAGTAATTAATTTTCAACTTGCATACATAAAAGTTAAGTACATGTTTTAAGTGTTTGGCCAGAGCACTTGGTATCTTGCAGGCCTAAGCCCTCTGAAAAACTACTAGATCTGTTTTTTTTAGTGTAATTCGGTCACATAAAAAGATGCCATAATCTTTCCCTCTTTACTCCCACTTTCAGGAGACAAACATTGTTCTTGGATCAAATGGAGAAAAAAAAGGGTATTTTGAAAAAAACAGTAATTAGGAGGGCTGCCCAATGTTCAGAGTGCATGCCTGTGGTTAATGGGAACTTTTACTGCTGCTGAGTGGATCACTTAATCCTTTTATTTCTGTAGCTGGCATTTCCTACATTTTTTTGCCAAACATCAATACCTTTATAGAGCAGTCATCTGGTTTTGATTTGTAAAAATGTGTCATGAAACTCCAGCTGAGGGATCCAAAAGTTTTATAAATTGACAAGCTAGCTAGTCTTTAATTAGTGTAGGAGAAAAGTGGTTCTTTATTTGGTTTTGCTTCATTTGTGTAATTTATATGGAACACCACTGGAAGGAGAGAGAGACTAGCACAAATGGTTTTACTTAGCTTAATGCACAGGCAAAATATTCTCCCAGTTACACAACCAGAAAGGGAAAAAGTCTGCAAAGCCACATATATTATCAGCTGAAATTTGCACCTTATAAACAAGATCTGGTTACTTGACCGTATCACTCAGATGAAATCTAAGGGTAAAGTGGCAAGGTGTTCACGTATTTTCTGTTTCCCCAGAGCCCTTTGTGTTTTTTTGTGAGCTCTGCTATTCATATTCTTTTGTACACCCAGAACAAGGAAAATGTTGTCCAGCTAAACATCCTTAGATGTTTGTTCAGGAAACCTTCTCATTTTTCAAAGGAGAGAAATAGAAAGTGATACTGGAGAAATTGTAGTTCAAATAAATAAACATCCCAAGATTTTTGTTAGGGAAACCTTTTCCATTTTACTGGCAATAAATGCAGAGCAATGCTGGGAAAAAAACCCTAGCTCATCAACATAGCCATCTCTCAACTCTATCTCTGTTCATAATCATTAGGATCTGAAGAACAGACTTCTCTAGCCTTATGATTGACTTGCTAAGAAGTTATTTAGAGATCCTAGGCAGATTTAACTTAGAGATATTTTAATTTCAAAGTTTTAAGTTAACAAAGTTGCAAGTGAATCTATAAGAGCAGTTACTGTCTAGGAACATGCAGAGACTCTGCAGGGTGTATTTAAAGGAAATGAAGTGTTATAGTGTGTGACACCCTGGTCCACTCGGCGGGTTGAGGGGAAGGTAATTTTGAATTACTCTGGGCAGTGCACAGAAGAAATAACACAATTCTCAGGAGGTTAAACAAAAAATAATTTTTACTTATGAACTTTGGGTCACCCATGTGGAATAAGACACTTGGCAAAAGCCAAAGCAGTAAACTTCACAGTATTCAAACACAGTGCAAACTGTAACTCAGCACACCTTGAGAGAACAGACCTTAGCTGGGCACTGATCAGGGCACTTAGTGAGTCATTAAAGGGACACTGCTCAGTGCTACTTGGAGCTTAATATATTGCAAAGGAGAAAAGTAGAGAGGAAGAGAGGTAAATAGTCACCACCCGTGGATCCAACGTGGTGTCGTCAGCTTCCAGCCCAGGGCAATGGGGTATGCTGCATGGTGCACATCTTGCTGTGCTTTTATTTGTTACCCTCACCCAGGGCCTGTCCTGGTGTGAGCTCACACCTGTGCTGTGCTCTAGACAGAGCCAGGAGCTTTGACACCATCTCAGGGCTTACAGCAAAGCCACGTGGTCAACCACCACCATTTCAGGGCTCACATCAGAGCCATGTGGTCACTGACACCAGTACAGTGCAGACTGGTGGGTACCTGCTAAGGCTCAAGGGGCTCCCCCCAGCCACTGCCCCACCTACACAGAGCTCAACCTGTTCCCCTCACTGGTTTCCCAGCTGGTTGGTTTGAGCCAGACAACCATTCCTCCAGTCCCTGACATAGTGTCTCCAATGTACTGATGTGAGAGCAGAGTTGGTGAGAGCATGTTATGTTCCTAGGTCATAGTACCTCCATCCTCTTGGCACCTTCCCTTCAGATACTTATATATCTTGATTTGTTAAAGCCTATATCCTCCCAGCTCCTGGAATAACATATGGAAAAGGGCGATGGGCTGAGGAGGTGCAGGTTATGCACACTATGGAGAGGAGGCATGAGTAATTCATTTAGATGTTGAAAAGGTCAAGCTGGGGACTTCCACATCTCTTTAAAGTAATTAATCAGTAGGATAACCTAAACATGTGCTTACAAAAATATTCCTTTCTGTTCTTTTTCTCCTTCCCTGTCCTGCAGGTCCGAAGGGAAGAAGGAGGAAGCTGTAATCTTACTGCAGGACTCCATAAAGTACGGCCCAGAGTTTGCAGATGCTTACTCAAGCCTGGCCTCACTGCTAGCCGAACAGGTAACAGGCATCACTTGAGGTCTTGTGCCTTCTGGGTGTGCATATGGGCTGCTGCCACAGCTCCAGCACCTCCTGCACATCTCAGTGGAGCTCCCTTGCATCGCATACATGTGGTGGCAGGCGTGGGTCCGTGGCTGTCTGCAGAGAGCTCTCAGACTGCTTTACAGATGGCTTTTCCAGGATGGGAGGCAGCTCATTCACAGTGAGTAATTACACCTACATGGTGTGGCTCTGAATTAAATCACTGCTGAAGTTGTGAGTAAATCCCCTCTCTGTGGCTCCCTGTGTCTATGGTGAAATCTTAATCTATTGCAACTTGAATGTTGTGACAGCAGGATAGGCGAGCGCTTCCCCCTCAGACACAGATAACCCTGAGATTTCATCATAAATAACTTCAAAGCTAGGAAATGTCAGAAACCAGGTGGCCTCTGCAGCCTGAATTGTGCCCCTTGCATGCACGAATTGAGATATGACCCTTAATTACTGTGGTAGGGAGTGGGAAGGCTCACTGGCTTTAAGTTGCTCTTAACGAGAGGCTGTTCAATATTTTATTTAACCTCATTGTTCACGTGCCTCCAGGCCTTATTTACTGTGCATGGCCCAGGCTGTGCTCTGGAGGCAGGATTACTCATTTCCTCTCGGGCTTGTTCCCCACACTCATTACTTGGGGCTCTCCCTACTCTCTCTAATTAGGTAATTTATTTCTACAAGGTCCTTGTGAGGTGAAATATTGTCCCCACAGAGGAAGAGATAAATTGAAGCACAAAATTCTTGAGTTCAGAAGGAGCCAGGAGGCATGGGTGCCCACACTGAGACCACCAAGCCTTACTTGTCTCCACACCTGCAGCAGCAGATGAGGGATGCTGTGCTTCAGGTGTTGCTCCTGTGGGCTGTAGGCACAACCAGTGGTCCCAGTCTGGGGCTATGGAGGTGGATGACAAGGTTCCTGTAAGTCCACAGCTCCAGCACACCTCTGCACAGCATTTGAAAACTGATTTTTTTCTCCTTCAATTTTCAGATCTAACTGTTCCATAGCACGGAGTGCTAAAGCTTTCTTAAAAGGCTGCCAAATGCAAATGCAGACAAACCAAAACAGTACCATCTTTTGCTGTTTTCCATTAATCTGCTTAGTGAAATCATCTCTCTGTAAGGGAACTGGATAAATTTCAGCAAAACTATAAGCAGACATCTTGTTCTGATTTCGTTGTTAATGATGTAGGCACTCTGCAAAACTCACCTATGTGATAATGTGAATTACTGAAAGATGTTCTATCTTATTTTCCCTTTAAAGTGAATTTTAAATATTATCAATGTTATCTGCAGGGATCTAGAAATATAGTGTATGGATTGAAAGATGAGTCTTGTTGAATGGGAATTGTGTTCTGAATAAGCCCATTAATGAAGAGTCTCCTGCAAGGATAGGAAATGAGTCCTCTGCAATAATATCTGGTTTTAATATTAATTGAAATTATTAATTAGAACCATTGACTGTAAGGTCAGCGGAGCAATAAAACCATTCTAGAGTCCCAAGACCTTCTGCCCAAAGCAAGTGCCATTAAGTAAGCCCAGCAATAATTCATCTCTCTGACATATAGATAGTTCATCCTCTTGTGACTTGAGTAAGTGGTAGGGAAAAAAAGATAGTACCATTTCCTCAGAAAACAGCAGTTTTCTGCAGGCTTTTAGCACTTTCTCATGTTCCACCACAGTAAATGACTGCCTGACTGTGCAGCTCCTGCCTCGCACACCCGTCCTAGTGACTGCAGTAGGATCTGTCCTACAAATACATGCTGCCTGTGGCTGTGAGCTGCAGGATCACACCCTCCAGGGGAACAGGCAGGAGCTTTGGCATCTTGAACCCAAAGGATGATGACAGGAGCCCACGTTTCAGTTTTGTGTTTTCCTTTTGTCCAAGCAATAGTGTTCAAAACGGCTAAAAGTTACAAACCTGTTTTTGCATCTGCTCGTGGCCCAGAGCCTGTGTCACAGCTGCAGGGGTATCTGTGATGCCAGGCAGTATGCAACATGCTGCATTGCTGTGGAGCCTGGGGAAAGGGATTCCCTCCTGCTGGGATATGAGAGAAAGGGACAGAAGTGCCACATTAAAATAATTTGCATGAGATGACTGTGCCAGTGACAAACTTCTGCTTCTCCAGTTTTGCACTAAAGCTAAGGAGGGAAACATGGACACAGCTCAGCTCAGTGGGAAATAGTGATGGGATTACCTTGTTCGGTCCAGCATGTTCCACTCATCTTAAAGGAGGTGAATCCAAAATAGGCCTTATGTGGCCTTTCCTCCCATACCTTTAAAAAATGCTCCTAAGAGGAATGTCTCATGTGCCAGGGAAGTAGCCTGTAACTCAGTGTAATTGCCCTTTCTCTCCTTGATAGTTGATTCTGGAGACAGAGCTGACATGTGAAAAAAACACTGCCATGTTCTCTAAAACAGTTTGGCTTGTTTGTGCCTTTTATAAATTCTTGCCCTTCTGACTGCTCTTTCTTCTTGGAATCATAACTCAGTTGCAATGTGTTGCTGCTTTTTCTCTTCTTTTCCATGATCATTGCAGTGGTGTTGATAACGGAAATCAAACATTTTTGCAGGCCATTATCACAACACTAACACCGGTTCCCCAGGATTTACTCTGGTGCTCTTGTACAGCACCTTATTCCCAGCTCTTGCAGTTTCATCCACCGTTTTGTGCTAGATGGTGGCTCTTTTCAGGCCCTAGTTCCAACTGATTTTGTGTGTGTGTTTCTTAGAGACTTTTTAACCCACTTATCTACAGAGAAGAGCCTACTCAGTCATAACCACATTGAAAAACTGAGCCACATGAAAACCAGACATAAAACCCTGGAGTTCAACTGAAAGATTCTCATATGCAGGATTTTTTAAATATCATAAAAATATCATACGTTTTCTTCTGAGTTCTGTGAGTTTGATGAATGTTTCATGAAGGTCTGGGAGTGGCATTATTAAGTGTTAATGAGAATCAAGCCTTGATGAACATAGAGCATTTCTCCTAAGAAGAGGAGAGGCTGTGAGGGGAGAAAGGTCTGGCACAAAAAGCAGGTTCCACCCTTCCCACTTTCTGACTGTGCTTAATGCAAACACTTTGCTAGAGAAATCATCCCAGGCTGGGCATTGAGCCTGAGGCATGCAGGGTCAGGATGTTAGGTGCCAAAAAAGCAATGCAACCGTGCTAAAAGTGCTCAGTATTGGTGAATGTTTTGACATGGAACACTGCTAATCCAGTTGAACCTTTCCTTGCTTTAAAGATTGGGTTTATGGTCAGTAAATAAAATTAAGAAACTGACATGCACATAAAGCTGCATTCCTAGGCTGAAAATTACAGTCAGTGAAGAAACTAATACATAAATCTTGGAAAATATGCTCCAAAAATTGCTCTTCGTTGTAGTCAATTCAGACTATTGCTGCACTTTTCCTGACTCCGCAGAATAATGTTGTCAAATTCATGTCAATATATCTAAAATGTCCAAACTTAAGCACTTTTAAAAGACATGTTTCTGTGTTTTATTGCACACTGTCTTTTTTTCTGTCTGACCTTTATCACATAAATGTGAAAGGACTTGATTCTGTGATCAAATCCTACCCTTCCAATGCAATTAATTCCAGCTCTCCAGTTCTGAAATAGGAGGTGCAAAAAAAGTCCTTACCTTAGGCAGCTACAAAGCAAAAACTGCTGTCAGGTACACCCTTTAAACCCAGAGAAGTACCAGGAGGGTCCACTATTTGCAGGACTTGCAGAACATCCATAGCTGGGAATGGACCAACCTCTTATTTTCGTGTGGATTCAGCTCCTGAGCAGCAGGTCTGCCTTGGGGGCTCCAGGCCCTCCGCAGCAGAGACCCAGTTGGCTGATTTTGCTTGGAAGCATCATCAGGAGGCTGTGGAGTTTGTTGCTGCAGGGTTGTGCTGCTCTGTGGAAGGGGAAGAATTGCAAAAAGCATCTTTAGAGCTTGGAGGCTTGCCTGACACCTCTCTGCTCTGTGCTTGTCTCTGCTGTTCACAGCCTCCTTCCATAAATACACCCGACAGCAGAGCTCTGAGGTTAGGGGGGAAGGAAGACTGCGGTAACCTGTGGTGGTGAACATGCAGGCAGTGGGAGAGCACTGTCTGACCAGAGGAAAATGGAAACCTTATTAAGTTGATATTTGATCCGAACGGGACACCTTATTTTTATTTCAGGACCAGGCTGCCTGTAGCTCAGGCTAGACAGAGCCCAGCCAGTGGGACACTTTCTGTGGGCAAGTTGTTCCCAAATTAAGATCTATATTTTCTAGAAATGCTCAGCACCACCAGCCAACCTGAAATCTTTTCAAAATGTAGGGACTTTGTGCATGTGGGCAATAAGCATGGTGGCACATCCGATCAGACCTAGTGAGCTACATCTTACACATTGACAACGCCTGGTTTTAATCGGAATCTGTCAGATTTTCCTCACTCTTTCACTGCCCCATCCTTCTCCAGATCCCTTTATCCCCCTGCACTAACTCACTGTCCCCCAACCATCACACACACCAAAGTTTAGCTCTTTGTATTTTCCTCACTACTTAGGGAAGGAACAGGAGAGCTCCAGAGGGGAAAAGTTAACAAGCGAGGTGCTCATTAAACAAATAAATTAAAATATATCAGCTCCCAGATGGCAGATATTTCCCAACAGAACCAACACAACCCCCTGTCACTGTGTTTTTCCTGGCTGGCTGTGTGCCCAGCCAAGGCTCCCTGGCATTGCAGGGGAGCTGTCTTTTCCAGATGTTTCACAGGTAGCTCCAATTGCAGATGTATGGGGGAAAGCTGTCTGAATTACTTTGGGGTACCAGACAGCAGCTATATCACATCCATGTCATAGGGCAAAATTTTGGCCTCCTAGAAGATGGGGTGGGCTGGTGCCCCAAGCTCCCTGTGCAGTGAGGGAGCTGTCACAGGTGCAGGTATGTCACAAATGGTGCTGACAGCCTTTCCGCCATGGCTAAGAAATCTCCTTCTCTTTTAAGGAACGGCTTAAGGAAGCAGAGGAGGTTTATAAGGCTGGCATAGAGAATTGTCCAGAGAGCTCCGATCTGCATAACAACTATGGTGTTTTCTTGGTCGATACTGGTAAGTGAGAAGGACCAGGGGATTTTTCCCTCTCTGCCTTCTTTGCTTTGATTAATTTTATTCTAAAATGGTGTCAAAAGCTTCCAAAGCCATAGATGTCCCTCTGCAGTAGCTTGGAAATAAATATCCCTGTGCCGCCGAGATGGCACAGCGCACTGAAATCAGTAATCAGTGCAGGCACTGTGCAGCAGTGCCATTCAGCCTGGCTGTTTCCTTCAGTGCTTCTCACCATCTTCACACAGGTAGCTGTCCTCTTCAGCATGAGCTGGGCAGCACCCTGGCAATACTGCCATTTCTGTCATGGTCACGTCAAACCAAATCCCAGGCACACAGGTGGATCATTACAGCCTTTGGAGCATACCAGCCCGACTTGGTGATAAAGCAGCTCTTTGACTGTAAGGGTTGAGTGCCACAACTGTAAAAACAAACATGGCTTTTGAGCCATAATCATCTGTGAAAACCCAAGATACTGTGGGGTGAATTGATTTTTCAGGAGCTCCGTAAATGCTGCCAAAGCCTTTATTTTCTGGGCGCCTATTTCCCATCCAACTTCCCTGGGCTCTTCCTGGCATTCACATAACAACAAAAAAAAGTCACTGTAATTGCCACCTTGTATTGACAGCATGATAAGCAAGGCCAAGTTTGACTAGTGGAAACTGAACTACCATCTCTCTCTGGTCCCTCCTGAACAGACCTGAGAATTAGTGATGAAATATTGTAGGCTTGAAGTGTTTGTTTGCTACCCATTCTGCCCCTTTCACACTGTGCCCAGCTTCAGTGGTGCTTGGGAAGAAAGAACTGTGGTGTCTGTCAGTCTGTAACTGGCTGTCCTACCTCTGAGCTGACACTTAGCCATCTCTCTTCTGTGATGAGATTTTTACCAGTGTGAAACAATTACAAAACCGAAATGAGTATTCCTCATCCAAAATGGCATCATGGCACCAGTGACAGAAGTTGAGGTTTTATATGTGTGCCCTGGCAAAATTCAAGCTTGCAAATAATAAAAATTCCTCAGTAATTTCACTCTGATGTACTCATCTTTGCTTGCCAACCCAGATAAACTGCCCTATTCCTGCCAAAAATTGTGGTTCAAATTCAGTGCAGAGCACTTTCTGCTTTTTGCACTTGTGTATTCTGCCAAATTCAAAACTAACATTTCCTGATCTACTCCTACACTTC